GGGGGAATCGATGTAAAGAATTTCAAATCAAACCAAGCACCCTCTCTGCTTTATTGTATCAGCAGGGCTGAATGGGGGTGTGGAGAGAGTAAGTGTTGGGAGGATTTTCTAATTATCTGCTGTATGACTCTGGCATAATTGCAGTGCCTCTCTCTTTCTACATGCTTTACAGTAACTACAGCCTGCAATTTGGTCAACTGTCTCCCCCTGTTCGCTCAATGCCCCCCCCCCCCCGCCTGTGATCAATACAGTGTAATTAAAGCTGGAGAAGATTCAGGCGACTAAAGGATCTCTCTCTGGCTCTCAGCTTCTCTCTTTCGGCCTCGGCTCCCTGTCTCGCTCGGTTTCTCCTGCGCAGACATGTCTCTGAAGGGGCTCTTGGTCCCTACCTTGAATTATATACGAAGACCCAGTCGCATTCTATTCCTGTAGAACCACCTGAGGGATAAACGCCAACTACATACCCGTGAAAAACACTGCCCACCACGAACCAAAGAGTACACCGAATAGCAAGAGCTGTAGGTGGCACTACTTTTATGTCATGCCACTGTCATGTTTTTATTTGCCAAAACCTACAATAACAAACCTTTTAATAGGCCAAATGCATAACCTCCCAATCTGGCAACACACTTGTGCTATTAGTTCCGAACCTGTTCCTCGCCGTCAGTGAATGAAAAGAATAATATAAGGCCCATATCTTGAACTAAATTTCTTGCCTGTTTGCGTATACAGCAAAAAAAAAGAAGAAGATAGGGAAAGTAAAGTTTGTATCACCAATTTACCCTTGTGATTCCATTTCCAAAGCATAGATGTGGCGCGAGGCGTTATCAGGCAAGGTCAGAGACAACCTCCAGCGTTCACAGTCACTTTGACTGCAGGGTGGTACGGATATTCACTTGAAAGGGCGAATTGGTCACTAGATGCACCAAAGCTTTTTTCTGGTGTGGATTCAGCCTCATCCTGCTCCGTGACTTTGAATCCCCACACTGACCATGTACCCCAACATCTCAGAATGTTGCCCGGGACAACTCCTGGTTTTAATTCTCCCCGGGTCTGCTATGGTTGAGCTCACATGCAGTATAACTTTTGCAATTTGAAACTCTTGGAAAGATCATTTGGATGGTAAACAAAGGGAGGCGTGGACTCAACTTGTTTCCTTTATATTTAGTCTCTTGCGTGTGTTGGGAGCACACTAAATCGTTTCAAAAGGGAACTCACAGGGGAGTACTAACACGTTTTTTTCTTCTTCCTTCTTCTTCTTTTTTTGTTTTATTAAATCATTGGCAGCGGTCCACCACACACTTTATCCCAACTCTGCATCACTTGCCAATAGGAAACAGCAGCTTTGTACCCAGCTGATGTCGGTTTAATATGTAGAGACTCAGACATTGCACAAATAATAAGGAACATATCTTTGGTTCTGCTACATCAATTTTGATACTTTTTTACTTTTAATAAGCAAAACATGAACATTTCTGTGAAACCATTTGGATGGTACATCAAGGAAAATGTTTGGATTTTTGAAACAATGCTTGATTTGAGATAAATTCTCAAAATGTATCAAATGATATCTGGCAAACCTATTAAAATATGTTCTAAAAATGGTATGACATCCATTCATAGAAGCGTGAATGCATTCGGCAGAAGTAGAAAGCATTAGGCTATAAACTAACTTCAGCACGGGCGCATGAACGAGAGTACACGTCTAGTCGGCGTGATTACGTTTTGTAGTCTCATTTCGCCACTTGTTAGCAACCACCTCTTTTTAAGACATGTAAAAGCTTCAAAATTCTCGAGAGGGGTTTTTAGTGATATATTTTATATCGTAGAATAAATCGGTTAAATCTCTTAAGCTTGTGTTAACCACAGATCTTATTTCAGGCATTTAACTAAAACCCCAATGACTTCAGGAAGAGAGGAACTGGAAGTGCAAAAATGCCAACTCATTTCTGGGTTTTAGGACTCATTCCTGCAACACTCTATGAGAGAATCGCACATCTGCGATGGAATGTGTCATGTGTTGTCTAAGCTAACCATCTGCTGGCTGGAGCTTCATTCATAGCGTACAGGCATGAGAATTGGTATTGATCCTCTAATCCGACCGTTGTGAAGAAAGCGAAATGTCAAAACTCTTCCTGTAAGCAACCCTACGACTCTGTCACATTAGTGGGTTGCAGTTGTGTGCAGTAACATCCAAAAGTACGATAAAGCAGAGCTTTCATCAGAGGCACATGCAAATAAAACAGATGTGAGAGATTAGACAGTTGCTCTCTCCCGCAGTGCGTGGGTCATAATATTGTGCATTCTAATTGCTGTGTAGTTCAGTGCATGTGTGCTTTGGATGCAGCTGTTTCAACTACAGATCAGCAATTTGGTGAGTGATGGCTCTATCGGATGTCCCCTCAGGGAGGAACAAACAAGAAGTCAATCTGTTTTTTTTCCCCCTCTCCCTCCACAGTGCTTGGCTTGCTCTTAGGCCTGCCCGTAGTCGACAGATAATCTATTTGTGCTAATTTCATGTTTCTCCCTGCCCACTTCCCCCTTGAATAAGTCATTCCACTTGTCTACACTCCTTAGTCTCTCTCTCGCTCTCTCTCTCTCTCTGTGCCACCAAAAGCATCTATTTACCTTCCGCTGTGCTCTGCATTTCAGCTTTGAAAAAAAGAAATCAGCAGTCTGTATTAGTCATTGTGTGGGAGAATGCCACGTTTGTGGGACGGGCCGAGCCGAGAGGTCCAGGCAGCTCGGACCATCTGTTAACATGGACGCCACATGTTAGTTTAATGGGGGTTGTTAAACGACCCACAGCCTTTTGTTAGTGCAGCAGAAATGACTTAATGGAGGAATTTGAGCATCAAAGAGGCTGAAAGTCAAATGGTCAAATATGTGTGTTTGGCATATTTGCTTTATAAAGATGATGGGAGTGGAAGTGGAGCATCCAGGCATGACTCA